GACCTATCCGAGGCTCAATTCTTGTGTCCCGACCGTGATGTTGATGGAATGGTGCTAAAAGCGGCGTGAAGCCTCACTCACCCAAATCATCCCCAAAATATACACAAGGATTTAATATGTAGGATAATTTATTACATTCAACCACACAAGAACTTGCCTTGCAATAAATACATTCATACAAGTTTGTGAACAAAGCTCAGCTGATTAACATATCTTGCGCACTGATATACGATAAATTTTGAAAGAAACTTTAAAAACTTAGTTTAGTCTACGGCGTCTTATACTAACATGATATTTCGTACAATTTCTCCAAAACATGCAGTTTGATAAAACGATATTTCACACCATGGAAACTATTAGAGTACATGTGATGGGTGACTTCAGTTACACTGTTAGTCCATGGTGTTTCAAAACCCTAGTCCGCCCATGTTGGGGGAGCCAGCGTTGTTTGAGGGGAGTCCACCTTGACCGAATCCTCCGTTCAGACCTGAAGGGAGTCCCTGGTTCATTCCCTGAGACTGTCCGCCGCCCATTCCTTGGTTGAATCCACCTCCCAAACCGTTGTTGCTACCTGGGTTCTGCATGCCGAGAAGTCCCTGGCCGAAGAGCTGGTTCTGGGCTGTGAAAGAGGTGGTAGCAGGCTGACTGTCGAAGCCGATCTTGCAGCACAGAGGGATGACGTCCATGCAGGTGGAGCCAGAGATCTGGTGAGAGGGACACAGAGCCAGTCCACGGCCGGTCAGCTCCTCGAAGGACAGGTTCTCCACGGTCTCAGAGGAGGTGGCGGTCTGTCCCTGGTAGATGGTGACGGGGGTGCCCACGATGCCGCGGGGAGTACGGGACTGGCTCCACCAGGTACGATCGGTCAGGATGTCGCCGAGAGCACGACTGGAACACACTTCTTCAGTGCGGGAGAATTCAGTGACGACCAACTGGAACTGACCTTGGAGAGTCGAAGCAGGGTTGGAAGCGATGACAGCTGAGAGACGCAGGCTTCGGGCTCCACCGAATCGGTTAAACATGGGGTTGTTGAAGTTGTTGCTGTTGCCAAGGCTGAAGGTGACCCTCATGTCATCGCCGTTGGAGTTCTTGGCGATACAGGTCTGGTACAGGGTGTTGTCTTGCACACTGGGCCTCAAAGGTTGGAAGAGATTGTTCCCCCACCCTCCTCCTCCTTGAGCAAACGCACCGCCACCTAATCCTCCAAGTTGACCCATGCCCTGACCTTGACCCATACCCATACCCTGACCTTGACCCTGGCCTTGACCCATGCCCCACCACTGAGCACACACCTGGTGAGAGGCGAGCCCCAACACCACACACACAGCGACGACGAGTTGATGGACCATTTTTACTGTAGGACTGAGACAGACTGAGCCGTGAAATCGATAGCCAGGGGTTTCGACTTGAGGGTCTTATATACGCCTTCAAATAAGGGTGCAGGGTAAGAGAGGCACGTATAATCGACCCTGAGGCACTGACGTGGGTGCGCCCAGCGCCAGTCGTCTCTCAGGCCCATTCCTTACTTCCTTGATTAAACAAATCATCCCATCCCTAATTAATGAAGGGACCGTCCATATAATATTCTGCCCATATCTCTGTTAGCATTTTGTTCATTTGCAAGGTCTAATCTAATCATGCTGACTGTCACCAGTATGTCCTACAGATTCATAGTACATTGTCACCGAAGTGGTAAACGTCTTCGACCTGCATCAGTTCGGGCTTTCCTCCCACATTAAGCTGACACGTCGTGATATAACTGGAATACTGTTAAAAGCGACGTTAAACCCAACTCACTCACTCACTCACTCAAAAGTTGATCAAATCAGGAAGCTCTGATCTGAATGCAAAACCAATACAAGGAAACAAATATGATGTTAATGTTTACAAGTATATTGTGTCATGTATTTCACCTGGGTTTTAACAATAATCTTTGTTTGCATTTTATTTAACGCCACGCTCAGCAATATTCGAACTATATGATGGCGGTCTGTAAATAATCGAGTCTGGACCAGACAATCCCGTGATTGATATCATGAGCATCGATCAGAATATTTATTCAGTCAGCGCTTTGAAAAACATGTTTTTTTCTGTAAGGAGGAAGCACACCGCCTTGTTCAGAACACGCAGAACGTCCAGCGTACGATTTAGTGAAAGGGGTGAGGTGAGGTGAGGTGAGGTGAAATGGGGTTTAACGTCGCGTCCAAGATTATTGCACTTATATAGCGACGTGCATGTACGTGTGTGTGTGTGTTTGTGTGGCTGCTTGTACTAGTCCGGACTGATGCCGATTTATAGTGCTAGCTCACTGAGATACCATGCCGCAGTTTAACATGAATACCCCACTCAGACACAGTATACTGACTCCGAGCCGACCAGTCCTTATTTTAGCCCCTTCATGCCGAGCACCAGACAGGGTAACAACAAGTACCATCTTTTAACGTCTTTTGGTATGACGCGGACGCTCTACCACTAGACCACGGAGGCGGTCTTTTAGTGAAAGAAATTAAACCACACGACAAATCTTTTTTCCTTCATTTCGAGAATAGATATTTTTATGAAAAAAACATCGGCCGCTCCCCAGCATATCAAAAGGTCGTCCGCTACGTTCTTCGATGGGGGGGGGGGGGGGGGGGGGGGGGGGGTAGCCTAGCGGTTAAAGCGTTTGCTCGTTACACTGAAGGCCCGACTTCGATTCCCCACGCCCGCAAGCCTGGGTTGGAAGTAGGGTTCGGTTGGGTGGGTGGGTGGGTGTTTGTTTGGAGAACAGCATGTATTTGTTTGTTTAATGTTATGGAGTTCCATTAATTTTATCAACATAAACAACTTCTCAATTATTATTTTGTTAAAATAAAAGTAAATAACCACGGAAATAACGAACTGTATGTTTTTTGGACACCTAAATATAATCTGCAAGACAAGGGCATATTATTATTCCTACATTACAAGGCATATGTAAAAGGAATTCCAGTAAAACAGCCCCCCCCCCCCAATTGTCAATTGATAAACTTGTGTCTCTAATTTCTCTAATTTCTGTTAGGGACCGACCCCGCCAATATCAAACAACTTTTGAGATGTCCCCACCACTTGAACAAACACGCTGGGGATCAACTGTTGGCTAGCTGCTGGACAAGTCGTAAACTAACATCTAGTCTCTGAAATGAACATACCGTACAGAAAAAAACCAGTTGTTCAGTTATCTTAATAAAAATATAATAAAAGGGAGCCCAGTGACTCTCTTCATTTTCTGATACTGCAGTAATCTAGACTTGCCAAACATTATAGACTTGTATGGGCTGTATTTGATATATATTTGTATCAGGGTCTGTAAGACAGACTAGACAAGTCGGAATGCACCGTATAAGAAAATGGTCGACACCGTCTATACGAAAGCAGGCACACACAACCTCAGGCAATCACACCTTAGCTGATCACACCTTAGCCGATCACTTCCGATGACGATTACACAACCAATTAGCAATCTGTGATCAACGTCTCAAGGACCGTTTGCACAGCTAAGTGTTTATTATCATAGGGGTGGGTGGGTAGGGGGGTTTGGGGGGATTATTTCATTAGCAATTAGTCACCGCGCTATAAATGAACTGGTTTAGCAACCTAAATCCATTGCTCAATTGTGACTGGAATGTCAAGACCATGCCCCAGCCCGGCCTCGGTTAAAACAAGAGTTGCAGCTAGATCCGCTATCCCATATCAATACAAAAAAAAAGAAATTCTATGAATACCAAACCTCGCAATAGATAAGTATACGCTACTCACGCACATGAGTCCCAAAGAGGGACAGGTCAGCCGAAATTGCTGAGAAGGCGACCTCTTTAACACTTAAATCAACAACCCATGGAATAAGTACGTGTTATTGGTGTCCTGCGGTAAAGCATAATCAGGCGTGTGAATAACAGGATATTCAGTTAGGAGATAAACATGCATTTTTAGATTTGCCGGGTGTCAGTACCTATTTGGGGACCTGAAATTTCATTTGAAAGGGGTGACGTGAGCCGAAAGTTTCCAATGTTAAAATTTCGTCGCATATTTTGGAATTAAATTAAATCATATTTCAAATGCATACAAACAACCTATTAATTGCGACTACAAGTATATGAAACGGAAACTCATTTAAATCACGGAGTTAATATTTTTAAATTTCGTAAGATTCGGTTATTTATTCTTTAATAGATAATGGATATATTTATGAGAGCATCAATGAAGGATAGAGTAGCTGGTTAAGATGATACTATTTCATAAAATATAATTGTCAGTAGTGATGGATGACCCGTAAACGGAACCCACATGTAGTAGGCAGTAAAATTATCTGAGAGGATTTTGATATTTTTGACCCCTCCCTTTTAAAAATGCTGGAGTCGCCCTAGCCTTGCACCAAGGCTTTACTGAAAGAAAAGTCCATGGATGTGTAGTAATTCTATCCTCCTAATAGGTAAGTCTTGATATGTGGACAAGGACTCCAGTCTCTTATAGACACAACTTGTTCTTATTCATTACATAATCTAGAAATTATGATTTAAACTAATAATTATTGCCTTAGTGGCTTGTGCAAGTCTTGCATAACCTGTTAACATACTTTACCGTCACGCCCTTAACTCATCCTGAGACACGAGTTATATAGTGTACTTGTACGTGTCTTTCTCCCTTCGGCGCAGTTTTTATTACTTGATAACTCTAGTGACCTTTGTTAAAGTTATGTTTCACTAAAAATATAAATAGCCTACCTGTATTTCATTTATGTATGTATGGCTTCATATGCTCCATATGTCAACCTCTTTAATGCGGATAGGCAAACAACGTTTCGTATTTTGTTCTTACATTCTTTATTTTATGAAATTATGTATATTGTTCCCAAATTATCATCAAAGAGTCAGTTATTCACACGCACAATACAACCACCTCAGTTGTAACGACCTAAATAACCCATTCAGGGCCCCTGTGTTCAAAGGGAAATCACTCCAACATGCTAGGGTTCACTTCCGGGTTTGACAGGGTCAACTCTCTGTCAAGGTGAAGCAAAGGGATAGACACAAACACCGTTATCTATATATGAGTTCCCTGTGACACTAACGTTTTAGAAGAAGTCGAATGTAGAAGAAGTTATGACACTTGAGGATATTATCAAAGTATTGCCGTTGGTGGCGTTCCTGGTCTTACAAGGAATTGAAGAGGTAAGGGTCGCGAGAATGCTTGTACAGTCATCGTTTGATGAATATGACGATGAAGATGCAAGATAAATGATATTCAGTTTGCACATAAACATGTATCACGTGTCCTGTTTTAAATCTAAAGAATCATTGTTATATCTTCAATGGCACAGGTGTAGGGTGAATTCTGTGACGACTGTATTTCTTTTGTTTGGCAGTGTCAAGTTTCAGTATCCGTGTTCAACGGGTATATATATATATCACCAGTGATCACTGTTGTGTAGCAAATGTATGTAGGCAACATAGGCTATTAGCAGCATAATCGTAGCTATGTACTGTCTGTACTCCCGCACTGTCTTTCCTGGCCAACATTTACCGGTTGCTAATATATATATATATATATACGCAACCAGCAAATGTTTGCAAGTGAACAGCTGGTGAAAGAGTAGATGAGCTATGGGATTGCAACAATCAAGATGTGGGTCTTGTTTTTACTTTTGGACCTCCTCATGAATGGCTATGAGATGGTGAAAGTGGGGTCTGTACATAGGTATGATTCACAGATAATAAAGCTTGACCTAGTACTTGTAGATACTACTCATGTTTTCGTACACTAGGAGCAATAAACGGAGTGATTATGAAACGTTTTGACCTCAATACATGAAATATTCCTAAAATAGGAATCACAATTCACGATTTGACATCTCATGTTACCCATGCTGCAGATAATATTGCCAGGCTTTTGACATGTGTGATGTATACTACTAAAAAAGTAAGACATGTAAACATGCATTAAAGAACACTTTGATTTTGATTTTTTTTTTATGAGTGTAGTTGATCTGTCACGGCCAAACTTAACATCTCTTAGTACTGTAGGACATTGGAAAAGACAAGACAGAGCTACAGATAAGCTGCATATTTGTGTAAAATACCTCCATACCCCCAAAACTATTCAAAACCCAATTACTTTCAATTAACTTGCGAACAGAAAAGCTTGCATTAAATGGAAAACGCAATTGTTTGAAAACAGCACGTGTAAATACCCAATGAATTTTTTTCAGCATGTATACAACGGAACAAAATTATGGCCTAATTTACTTTCCGAGTCAAGCCTATATTTAGGATCGTTATATACATCTAAAACATATTTCATTTTTTAAAATCTCAAAATGCTTACTCATTTTGGGAAAAACCCAATAGAGTGATAAATACATGAGAGAAAAAAATATTGGTTACACAATAAAAAATGTAATAACCCAATTAACCTAGACACCTTAGAATAAAAGCTCAATTGCTTAAAAAGTTATCTGGAGCTCTGACAAGACATACAGTAGGATACGAGTTGTATTTTATCCTGTATCAGTCATTCTGAATCATTAATCATGCTTAATTTCTATTACATAAACAATATTTTAAATTTAATCCTCAAGGTTACCATCTTCAAAACGTGGGGTTATAGCATTAAATACATACCTGACAAGATGTAACATCATCTACCAGTTGGGTCATTGGTTCACAAAGCAATCATTACACTATTTGTCTGTTAGCATGGTTTCAATTTAGTTGCTTACAAGCACATTGTCTGATTATGCTGATTGTCACCAATACCGTATTCGACGTAATAAGCGCCCACGGCGATATTTGCTAATATTTGGCTAGTGAACAATCCCACATAGCACCCCTTCCGATTGTTCAATGTACACGAAACTTATTTATTCGTGTATAATACGTGTGTTATATGCATCCTTAATTATAGAAATTAAATTCTGGAAAAATATATCTGATGTATATAAACATTTCAGGCTGTCAGCATGAACCACGAAATTTACGATCTTTCAATTCTGTTGTTTTTCACCAAAATAATATTCTAATAAGAGCCCCCTATTTCTAATTTTGAGAGCGCCCTGGGCGCTTATTATGTCAAATACGGTGTGTCCTACAGATACATAGTACACATGGTCTATTGGGTAATGATGTGAAAGAATGTCCCATCAAAACTGATCTGCATGCAAAACCAATACAAGGAAACAAATTAATGTGAATACTGTGTCATGTATTTCACCTGGATTTCCTCTCAATATGACATGTGGCCCGTGAAGATCCTGGGTAGAATAGGTCTTCAGCAACCCATACATGTCGTAAAAGACGACTAACAGGATCGGGTGGTCAGGCTTGCTGACTTGGTTGAAGCATGTCATCGATCCCAATTGCATGGATCGATGCTCATGTTGTCAATCACTGGATTGTGTGGTCAAGACTTGATTATTTACAGACCGGTATATTGCTGAGTGCGGCATTAAATAAACAAACAAACAATATGACATGTAAAACTACCACTACCAGAACCGCCTTGACGGATTGAAGATAGGGCAAAGGGTGGCTCTTTCTTTGCAACAAACCATTCTGATAATGGATTGTGAAAACCTTACGAGTCATTTAAAATCTCTGCTCCAGCCACTCCAGCCACATGCTTTTGCCACTTTTTCTAGTTTCATTAAATAACACATAGTTTGCGATAGTTTTGGAGGGGTAGAATTAGTAACCATGGTAACAGTTACTTTGAACAAGTTGTATGGATGTGTCTGTTTTTCCTGTTCAGGGGTCAATCAGTCACACCAAACACTGGTCATGGTTACTGAGTTAATTCAAGCTTAACATGCTTAAGTTGTAGACAGCCGGGGTAGTGGCCCGTGTGGAATTAAGACATGGCCCTTTTGTTGTTTAATGTGATAAGTAATCAATTATTGCCAGATCACTGAACGATGACCAAAACCTTGAAGGAGCTTAAAGGCCACAAGACATTAATAATTTAAAAAAATATGAGACTGTTTGCTGCAATAATATAATTACAGAAACCTTAAAGCATCCGTTTGTTTTAACTGTTGATGGATGTGATTCACTTATAGCATGAATTTAAGGTAGGACTCAGTTCAATGTAATTCATCAAACATATGAAAAAGGGAACACACTTACCGTATTCGACATAATAAGCGCCCACGTCGATATTTGCTGATATATTGGCTATTGAACAATCCTAATTAGCAGATTAGCACCCTTCAAATGATCAATGTACACAAGACTTATTTATTCGTGAATAATATGCACTCGTGTGTTATATGCACCCTTAATTATGGGCAATTCAATTCTGGAAAAAATATCCGTCGTGTTTAATACGCACAGACTTTTCTTTTGTATCATTTCAGGCTGTCAGCATAAACCATGAAATTTACGATCTTTCAACACTTTCACCAAAATTATATTCTAATAAGAGCCCTCTATTTCTTATTTTGAGAGAGCCCTGGGCGCTTATAACGTCGAATACGGTAACTATTTTCGTTGGAGGTACTCCATGAACTTGGGGACAGTTAATTAATGGGAGGTCGTGCTTGGCCATGTTGGCAGGGTGCCGGATTAACCTAATTTCAAGTCATTTCTTTTCGCAGAAAGGAGCCAATCAATCTTTTTTTCACAACATTTATAAGGACTTCAGGATATCCAGCAAACAATTATTGTTTATATCTTAGTAAATGTTTTAACACCTGAGACAAGAAAACCTATTTTTTCAGTATTTTCAAATTATTTTTTTAAATCCTAGCTCCTCCTTCCCTTTCTCCGCCCCTTAAATTAAAATAATAATGAAAAAATATTAAAATAACAAATTGTCTGTTGCCATGGTTGCTAATCATGATGATCAAAGTTGATGTTTTTGTGCCAAGACTGTGTCGTTACCAGCTTCTCAGCAAACACCTTAGACTAACATATAGTCTCTGAAATGAACATATCGTACAGAAAAAACAGTTGCTCAGTTATCTTAATAAAAATATAATAAAAAGGGAGCCCAGTGATTCTCTTCATTTTCTGATACTGCAGTAATCTAGACTTGCCAAACATTATAGACTTGCATGGGCTGTAGTTGATATATTTGTATCAGGGTCTGTAAGACAGACTACAAACACCTCACAAAATCAATCTACCATTGTCTACAGGTCTGTTTGTTGTGTGCTGATGTGACTGGTGTATAGTTCATACACTGTACAGTTGACGCGCGACAGCTTGTTACTTTGAACATGTCAAGTATTATGTATGGTCATCGTGACAGGTGTGACATGTTTCGCGTATGGATATTATTGTCATTCATCATGTGTTAATATTATAGATACCCGGGTTTTACATGACCTTGTAATGTAAAGATGGGAGTCGGTACTCATATGTTTTGGGGTGTCATTTTCTAAATTTTGGAGTCAAGATTTCAAACGAATCAAGACCTTTTGTTTGCTGTCAGATACTTTGTGTGATACTGCGCGAAACAGACATACTCGCAGCTGATTGGCTGGTGTATAGTCATGCCAGTTACACATTGCAACAACTAGTCCGTGGACTTAGAAATTTGTTTTTGAAACTAGTCCAGATACATTAAAGTTTGTAGCTACGAGCTAGTCTTGTTTGAATGTTATGTTCACATTTTCTGTCAGTTTGATTAAATTCCAATTTATGGCAATAATGAAGCTTTGAGAGCCAGTTCAGAATTACAAACCTCACTTGCTACTAGTTGGCAAGGACAAGAAACATTGTATTTTGACTTGTCCCCAGCACAATTTAGCGTGTTTTGTAGGGTGTCATTGATCAGAAAGTATTGATATATTGACTCATAAGTATCACAATACAATATATATTGATGTATCGATTAACAACAAAATTTGTTATTCTGTATGTGTAGGATATAAAATTTCCTATTTAGACCTGCAATTAATCAATTTAATGCTATATATAAACCAGGCTGAACTATTAAAAGTTTGACCCCCTCCATTGTCAGTGGCAGAGAGCGGAATGTTGGGGGTTTGATCCCCTGCAGTGTCATACCTAAAGTATGCCTGGCACTCTGCACTAAGGGGCTAAGACATGGGCTGGTCAGCACGGAGTCAGTATACTGTGTCCGAGTGGGGTATTCATGTTAAACTGTGGCATGGTATCTCCGTGGGCCAGCACTAATACTCTGCATGAGGTAGGACTAGTGCAAGCAGCCA